TTTGAAAGTGAATCTTGGACGAAACAAAAGAGTATATCTAAACAACTATTAGCAACAGTGATACTATTGTCCTGATTAGGGACTAAACGATCCTTACGTCGCATCCTACATTGAAGAATAAAATAGTGTCAAAGGAATCCTTTAGGAGTGTGGATGTGGGCGTGAGTATGTGAGTGTTTGCGGGTATAGGTGTGAGTGTGGGTATAGTGTGAGCGTCTGTGTTTACCTCCCTCAAATCCACACCCACACCTTCCCAACGGCACCCGCATCCACACCCACTCTCTGCATATATTTTGCAGAATAAAGTAGAGCAGCTTTTTATTAATGGTATCGAATCTTAGTTATAGGATGTTTGAGAAGCATCGTGTTTTAAAGAATATGCGAGTGCGAATTTGGATGTGTGTGTGAATCGAATATCTAAAGTTGCGGAAAAAAGTTTAAGGCACTTTTCAATTTCTAATCTTTATTTTCATGAAATGTTAAAAACAATACAATAAATTTCAAAGCATATGTCCACCGTTTGCTTTCAGACATTTTTAGACTCGTTCTGGCATCGACTCGACCAGTTTGACGCATATGCCCTTGTCAATATTATTCCATTCTTCCTGAAGACAATCAATAAGAGCCGCTTTCGAATAAATAAGTTTTGGAACCAATTTTTTGTCTAGAATGAACTACAGCATTTTTATCGGATTTAGATCTGGACTTTTTGAAGCCCAATCAAGCACATTCAGCTTCAATTTGGCTATTTTTTCTTGACTATATTGGGTGTATGCCATGTAGCCCAGTCCTGTTGAAAAGTTATTGTGACTTGCCTTGGAATTTTTGCAAGAGACTGCTTCACTTCATGTTCTAAAATATCATAATATAATTGTCCATTTATATTCTCGGTGTAAATTTTCACATTAGTTGTTCCGAAACCCGAAATATCACCCCAGACTCCGACTTTTCCATCATCACCAGTATTTATTTGATGCAGACATTCGGGTAATAGCTTTTCTTTTGGCAATCGCCATATTTTGCTTTGGTTCTTTCGTTTTAATACATAAAAAGTTGATTCATCTGAAAAAATAACGTTCTTCCAATCGTTTCGAGTCCAATTCATATGCTGTGCACACCACGCCATTCGTTGTTCTCTATGTTGAACACCCAGCCACTGTTTTTTCACTTTGATCATATACTCAAAGTCTAGATTTTTTACATAAGTACGAATTGTTCGTGCTATAACTGATTTTGGTAGACTGCCGTTCGAATCCGAAGCTATTTTTGCCGCACTAAGGCGTGCATCACCTTTAACCAATCGTTTCAAATCGTATGATGCATTATTTGAATTTCCAGACGCCCTTTTGTTTCCTGTTTAACAAGATATATGATGTATAGGATGTATAGGGAGGTATATAAGGTAATTGGAGGTATAGGGAGGTATAAGAGGTATAGAAGATATTGCAGATATTGATTAATTGGTACAGATGATCATTCAATAATATTTGAATTTATACATCTATTCATAAAATATACTGGTGCCACTTGCCAACCCTTACTCGAAAAAATCAATTCCTATGCCTCCTATATTTGCTATACCTCCTGATACTTCCTTTATCTCCTATGCCTCTTATATCTTGTTAAAAAAGAAACAAATGGGGTGTCCGAAAATTCACATAATGCATCTAATCTTTCAAATATCGTAGATCATGGCCATTACACTTTTTCAAACGCCCTGAGCGCTCGTGGTCGCTGTATACACCAAGATCTTTGTATTTCTTGATCGTATTTTGCGCACAGCATCGAGAAATCTTGAGTTGCTTTGAGATATGGACATAATTGAAGCCAGCATCATGTCAAACTACCACCTGGGCTCGAACAAATGAAGAAATCGATTTTTTACCCATAATATTGTCAAGAATTGTCAAAAGAGTGAAATACACCACGAAAAATCGGCAGATGTACTCTTTTGTTTCTTTTTTGTTGAAGTAAACGGACGTATTGCATATGATGCCTTAAACTTTTTCCGCTGGACAAAAATAGTTTTTTTGATAAAAAATGAAATAACGTGTTGATAATCTATCTGAGATTATGGGCTTATAGAACCTTTTGAGAGCGATCGAAATCACTATTTGGATGTCTAAAACTCTTAGTCTTTAATGAGAAAAATCGAAAAACAAAAAGTGCCTTAAACTTTTTTCCGCCACTTTACATGTACAGCTTGATTCAGTTATTTTTGATAGTTTTGTGCAGTCTGCTGTATTTATGCAAAAAATCTGATTCTTTTTATTTTGATATAGTCGAATATAGTATCCATCACTCTATCGAATTACATATTTTTTATTTTATTTATTTTACATCTTATTCAAAAATTTAATGAAGGTTGAGAAGTGCTGAAAAGAAACTTTTTCACGCTCATATGTCAGCAACAGTAAGCTGAATAATGAAGAAAATTGCTTTAGATGGAAAAGATCTATCACATTTCATCGTGCAAAATATATATTCAACAGAACGGATTCGAAATTAAGAAGAAAAGTGACCTTGACTCTTAAATTTGAACCCAGTTTTGTGCTAGTGAAAAATCAAGTTTGTAGAACTTTTTGCACAAATTTACTGGTAAGAATCGGCGTACATCTGATCAGAACTATGTAAACTGATATGGAAATCGACGCTTTATTTGGGTTCATATCACAAAAAAAGAAGATCGGGTGTTTAAACAATTAAAAGTTGTCTGAGAAAAGCCGAAAGCCATATATGAAAGAAAGTTCACGAAAAACTTTCTGAGAAATTCCCTACATTTATAATGAAGATACGAAATAAACCCATCGAAAATTATATAGTTCGATAGAGAAGCGAACAGTCTATTACTCTGTATAAATATAAAAAGTTCCAATGGCCCAATAAATGATAATCTTCGAAAAATTACCTAAAAAATTATCAGAAAATCGCTGTTGAAAGACTTTTTTCGAATGCTTTTCGAGATTTATCAAATTTTTGAACAAGATGTAAAATATAAATAAAAATTATGTAATTCGACAGAGTAAATCATGTTCTATTCGACTATATCAAAATAAAAAACCTCGGATGTTCTACATAAACACAGGAAAACTGCATAAAATTATCAAAACTAATTGAATCAAGTTGTACAAGTACATCCACATCCTGCCTACAGTCAAGTGAAGCGATTCTCAGTGAACGTTATCTTGTTTTGTAGAATATGAGATATTATGTCAATGGGATCTACGTTTGGTTTAAACAATCTTGAATAAACATCATAGTATGACTGTGACTTTTCTATGTTTTTATAATATGTTACTGGCATACAAGTAATGTCTTCATTTCTGATAGAAATTCGATATTGATACGTGTTGCACTTTATTGGCTGAAATGTAGCGCTACTTACTTGGTGTACTACCTTGGCAATTTTATATTCACTATATTGTATTGCTTGCTTGTCAACTACAAACCAACGATTGATATTAAGCGATAAAAAAAATCAATGAAGCATGTAAATTAGAGGAGAGAAAAGAAAAAGAACCATTCGTCTTCTTCACTCTCATCATATACCGTAAATGATTCAGTAAAGGCCTCTCTAGCAGCAATGATTGCTGTAGAATGACGAATATTTATGTGCATTTCTTTCAATGTACATAATTTATGCTTATTAGCTAATTAAACGTTTTCAAATCATTATTTTTCAAGGATCAGAAATATGTTGCACATTATTGTATTTAACAGTATACGATATATTAGTTATTGGAGCAATAAAACAAATCTATGTGATTCCTATTTACTGTTATTTACTGTTATTTACAATTCTGTTACAAAAGTAGGTACACTTTCGAATGCTACTAAATTAAACTGATGCTCTTAAACCAAATCATTTAACACCCCCCCCCCCATCCTGTCAGAAACAATTTTTGACTTTGAACAGTCTTTTCAGGCTGAAATTTTTAGAGATGACTGATCTTGGAGAGATATGTCTCTGGTAAAAATTTCAGCTCGATTGATCGAACTAGACCGAATTTCCAGCTGATCCATGGGTCATTATTGGCTTTCAGAAGAATCGCTAAAACTTCCTTAGAACAAGAGGTAGAGAGCTCGGACTTGTTTCAAATTAAAGTACAAGGTAGTACACAACTTTTGTCTGAACAGAATTTTTATATTCCTTCCTGTTCATTTCTTATGAGCATTTTAGTACAAGGGTCTTAAAAGTAGCATAAAAAATGGTGGTCCAGCGACAGTAAATTCTATTTTTCTCAGTCCAGGAACCCATTTTCAAGAATCCATTCGGACAAAATTTTAATCTGATCAATACCTTTAAAACAAAAAAAATATGGGTAATAGCTCGAAAAATGAGGGAGGAGTTTTAGTTTTTCTGATTGGAAACCATGTTCTAAGACAAACTCTAAAGTTTTAGAAATGCTGTTTTTCATTTAAAATCGAAAAAATCATATTAAAATGACATTTGTCTAATATATTTTCTTGAATTATTTTACAGCACGTAAAAAATGCAGTTAAATTAAAGCCATGTGATATGGTGGTTAATATTAAAATGTTTTATTCAATGAGAATTCAAGTAGCAACGCAATTTTTCCAAAACTGAAAAAACTTTCAAAAACTACGAAAATTTCTCGAAAAATATGGTAGTGAAGTCAAAGTCTGATCTGATAAGTCTTTAAAAATCGGGTCATTTTCGAAAAAACTATATATGGGCGTGAGCAGCCGACTTGGTATCCCAAGACATATTTGATTGTGTAGCTTTAATTTTTTATCGAAGAAACGTGATTTTTTTACCAATTGTAGTACATATATAGTAGTAACGATCGGTCACTGTTTGAGCTCTATATGGTACTACAAAAGAAGGGTTATCAGATTCATCTTTATAATCATTATCTTAAACGTACTTTATATCCAGTTTAATAGGATACATTATTTCATACTAGGAAATTTAGAACAACATAGATTAGCGACAGTGTTATTATTAAGTGGTCAGAAAATACAACTTATCATGGTGTTTATTTACGCATAGGATGTTTATTCAAATTCATATTACATAGAGCAGAAACAACTTTTGCAATTTTAGTTATCTTATGAAAATCATCAACAGCTCCTCTGCAAATACTACCATAGATGGCATAGGTTTTGAGACGCTGATTTATATTTTCAATAGGCGCTCTTGCACTATTAATACTTCGATTGAAATTTTTGTCTTCCTCTGCCGATTCGCGCCCATGAGGCTTCTTTCTTGGAGTAACGACGTATTCTTCACCAATATAACCTTTGTCAGCAATAATTTGTACAGAGTCATTCACATGTTCTAATAGTCCTGACTCTCTTAGAATTGTGATATCATGTACACTGCCTTTGTAACATTCAGACACATGTACTATTCGATGATGAAAATCACAAGCTATTTGCACTTTTAATGCATAGTTTGTTGTACGTTTTGCATGATAGTATGCTTTACGTTGAGTTGAATCACCAGGCTGGGGAATTGCGATGAAAGTTGAATTAGCTATTAATTTATGATGTTCTTCAGGTCCCTGTGTTGTAGTTCTGTTGGACATATCAGCAGGCAATGAAATTAATTCTGAATATACACATGTATGCAAAATGTTCAGAACTGATAATAACAGATAATCTACTGTCTTTTGAGCCAGATTCAATTCTGTAGCAATATAACATTCAGAATGATAATGTTTTAAGTACCGTAATGTAACTAAAAGCAGATCCATATGAGATAGATATGGTGTGTTGGTACTGTTTGAATGTTACTCGTTCCTATGAGAGCAGTAGTTCGTCAGTGATTGTTCACACATAGAATACAGTTGTTGTACTAGTTCGACGGCATGTCCGGTATGTTGTATGCATGATTCATCACTGCTTTCCCATTCTGACCACGGGCGTTGTTCTAAAATAATGGAATAAGAGGCATATGTGTAAACTGAGGAAATCAATGTTACTTACTATCATCTAAAGCTTAAAAATGTTATTGAATAGCAACTTGCTTTTCATCCATTGTCCATTGCCTTTCTTCTTCAAGCTCTGAAGTACAATCATTACACGTGTCACGATGACGATAATAATGCGTGTACAAAACAGACTTTCCAGAACCAATACATGCCCAAGTTAACATCGAATGACAATCCGTACAATATTTTCGACGATCAGTTGTATTAGATTGACATTGAGAACAACCCCATTCAAATTGTGGAAAAAACATAGTACAAAGATAGAAAGCATTTGTTATCAAGCGAAAGTATGTTTAAAAAAAAAGAAAGAACGAACGAACGAACGAACGCGAAAAAGAATTATAGCTAGAACGAGAATGGCGTGACTGAAATAAAACAGCGACAGAGCAGATGAAATTTTACTGCGCACAAAATACATACTGAAAGCGAGATGTAAACAAACCAGGTATGACACACGTTTAAGATAATAATTATAAAGACGAGCATAATAACCCTTCTTTTGTAGTACCATATAGAGCTTAAACAGTAACCGATAGTTACTACTATATATGTACTACAACTTTGTAAAAAAATCATGTTTCTTCGATAAAAAATTAAAGCTACACAATCAAATATGTCTTGGGATACCAAGTCAGCTGCTCACGCTCATATAATCTGAAAGAAGAAGCTTCGTTCAATCTTCCTATAATAAAATTTCAATTTCAATACTTTTTAGAAAAATTCGATTTTCTGAGGGGACTCCTTAAAAAAAGGTTCACTAGAATAGTAGATATCATGTCCGGAGAAAAATTTTTGATTTTTGATTTGACATTCTGAAAAGAAAGGCTTTACAGAGTTAGTACTAAATCCAAAAGATTACCTTGATCTGAGGGTGTGCGTGTGAGTGTGTATGAAGATAAGACACTCACCTCCACCCCCATCCCCATCCCCACACCAAAACCACCCATCCCACCAGCATCCAAACCTACCAAACTCCATTTTCATGATGAGTTTGACGAATGACAGGTTTTTATATATAATAGTCGATATAAGTCCTATTCGATACCTTTGAACTTCAGAAGAAGTAGCATCTAGAGATGCCTAAATATCGTAAATAAGTTTCATTGAATCCTGGGATACTCACTTTCTTCAAAAATCTGATGACTCTATTAAAATCTTGATGCGAATTATTCATATATTTTCATGCCTCTGTATGCAAAGAATACATAACTTAAAAATTGAATATCCTTGCCCAGATACGCTATGGGTAGCTTGTATTTTAAATTCTTTAGTTTCTTGGTGAAAGCTAACACTTGAACCGAACAAAGTCAATCGATTCGCTCAACAGTACAAACTCTTCGATTGTGAGAAAAATCGAATTTATTGTCGTTGGACCACCATTTTTTATGCTAATTGTAAGACCCCTATACTAAAATGCTCATAAAAAATGAACAAGACGGAATATACTAATTCTGTTGGAACATTGGTTGCGTCTTAACATGAATTTTAATTTGAAATCAGCTCGAGCTCTATAACTTCTGTTATGACGAAGTTTTATCGATTCTTCTGAAGGCCAAAAATGACCCATGAATCAGCTGGAAATCCAGTCTAGTACGACCAACCGCGCTGAAATTTTTACCAAACGTGTATGTCTCTAAGATCACTCATCTCTGAATATTTCAGCATAAACGAACCGTTCAAAATGGAAAACTATTTCTGAGGGAGACCTTACTTAATATCTTTACTATTTCGAAAGCTGAAGTCCAAAGCCAATTTATATGTTGGCATATCAATATGCCACTAATCCAACTAAAAACTGAACAAATCACCTAATAGAGGACTATCCGTGTTTAACAAAAAAAAGTTCACGGAAAGAAGTCATTGTTAACCGCTTATCACTCTTGTTACTGTCAACATCTAAAAACATACAACAACACATCTATAATAGATATATTTTTCGTAATTATTTCAGTATACTTCCATATCACTTCTTACCGAAATATGATTTGTGAAATCCGTTCAGATTTGCATAAAGTAGTAGAAACCATAGGTATCGCCTATCATCCATCAACTACTGTCTTGTATATTTTGCATTATATCTCGCAGATAACAAACAAGAAATATACTTGTTGTGGATTCTTCTTTTTACAATTCGATTCGTCTCATTGGTTGTTACTAATGTCGAAAAAAGGTTCGGTTCTAAATCAAACAGTGGAAAATGGACCTACACACGGTTCACTATAAGCGACTTTTTTCCATATTGGAGGTGATGTGTACCAGACAATATATAGAAAAAGAACTTTTTTGGAAGCTCGCGTCTTGACAGTTTTTCAGGTCTAAGTGATTACTATTGATGCTGAAAAAATGATTCCGGTTCTAAATTCAATAGTGGAGAATGAAGATATCCATGGTTCACTATAAAATATCTTTCTCTAAATAGGGGATAGTCTACATTAAACAACATAGAAGACAGTATTTTTGAAACCCCTTGTCTTATTATTTTTATAGTTCTTAATGATTACTATAAGTGCTGAAAAAAAAATAGCTCGAATTCTAAATAATATAGTGGAAAAGGAAGGCACACAATATTTTGGCATGCTCTATTATGAGCTTTAAAAAAATATGTAGCTGTGCTGTTTGTTTGAAAAAGTTAAATCAAACAAGTATCATTTTTCTCAGATATTTTTACATCATAAGACGCAAGTTTTCACGAGCTATGTTCTGGTGTCATCAAATTTATGAAGAACCTCATTTTGAAGCGCAAAGGGTCAAAATACTTCGCAAAAATGTGAAAAATTGAAGTATTTTTTGTTAAAAAAAATACTTTGTTAACCCTTGTTTGTTCACATAATAATATTTGTTGAGAGTCGGAAAAGAGAGCAGCGCATGATAGACAAAAAAAACAATGCTCTTTGTTTTTCCAAGAGTCATCATTGTGTTAATGCTCGAAATAGCGGAAAGCTTTTGTATCATATTAAAACCACGAAAAGCGACCATTTACCGCCTTGACTTATTACCCATGTCATTGAAGTGTGCTTCAGAACTCAGCAAGGGATGATAAAATCGCACTAATATTTTGGATTTAGTGCTAACTCTGTAAGACCTTTCTTTTAAGAATATCAAATCCAAAATGAAACATTTTTCTCCGGTCAAGTGGCTTTTTTCTGCTTGGTTTTGCTGGCGGACTCTTTCTTAGTTCTAAAATACAATGTGAATGTAGCATGATTAGAAACAACACCATCGTCAATGTGAAGTGATAAAGTAACGATGAGTAGACATCATGAAGGGGAAACAACTGAGATTTCGGTCGTAAAGTCAGATGCGGTCTTGAAAGTCTTCCGAAGCCTTCTAAACTTTGATAAAGTCTTTTGAAGTTTTTCGAAGCACGCTGAAATCTGTTGAAATCTTCTTAAATCTGTCGAAGTTTGTTGAATTCCTGTGAAGTCTGATGGAGTCTCTTGAAGTCTCCTGACACTTTGCGGAATTTTGAACGCACATTAAGCCCATGGAAAATTCACAAGAAAACCAATGAACCATTAAGCCTTCTGACGATCTTAGTACAGTTCAAATGTGAAATTTTGTTGTTTGGCTTATCTCTTAGTGAAGTCCGTGCTCCTATGAATTTAAAAAATGCCATACTGAATAGTTCAAGTCTCTTTAATGAAGTGGTTTATTTCTATAAAAAGTATTCTATCAATTCGATACTGATGTTATGACGAATTTTAATCTTTTTCATTTGTTTCCATCCAAGGTAAAAACAACTTAGACTTTCGTTTTGAAGTATCATGAAGTCCTCTGAAGTCTAATGAAGGCTAGCCTCTTGAAGTTTCTCGCAGTCTTGTAAAGTTCGATCAACTCTTTCGAAGTGTTTAGACGTCTTTTCAAAATTTAAAGTCTTTATTGATGACGTCTCTTGAAGTCTCATGAAGTCTTGAAGCGTTCAAGTCCACTGATTTGTCTCCGGAAAATCATAAGAGTTTATCAGATAATGAAAAAACAAATACAGAGTATTCCAAAAATCCCTTGGGAAAGTAAAACTGAATATCTGTATAATTTATCAAGTTTAATCAACTGATGTGTTTTCAAATGATAGGTATCAGTGTGAGATTTTTCTTTGATATGGACAAACTTCACAAATACTTTTCAAAGTCATTGGTTTCGGCTGATATATAAAAAGAACTCGTATTTCGGTTTCCAAAAAGTCGCTAAGTAGCGTTTCTCTTTTAATAATTGAGTTTTCTAGTATTTCATGCGGCGTTTAGATCAACCAGATCCTTTGCTATCATTTGCATGTATTTATTTTGCTACGTAACTATAGATAGAAGCTTAATGGATTCAAGTGAGACGACCATAAAGCTCAAGAGGGGAGCGCACCTCTTCCAGTTCGCCAATGAGCGTCCGAAAACACAAAGCACTGTCACAAACTTCGTGAATACCACACTTGATACCATTAGAATTCTTTCTATAGTGGCATACCAAAATAGATACATAGAAATGAAAACAAAGGATCTCGTCGATCTAAACGACGCAAGAGAGTGTGGATGTGGGTGTGAGTATGAGTGTGCGCGTGGCTGTGGGTGTCATTAGTTAGGAGGTCCCCACCCACACAACCACATACCGTACACCCACACCCTGAGTCTTCCCGAATACATAGTTCAGTGTGCTGTACAAGATGCACTATATACATCAATTGATTTCAAGATCTTATCAATTTTGATGCCTGTGATACTCCTCCCCCTCCAGCATTTCATAAAAGTTTTTAGTATGCTTGATTTTTGACTTTGTCACACAATTTTTTTTCTCATTTTTGACATGTTCAATCAATGAGATGTGACCCTCTTCTAATATTCTAGAATTCTCATAGAATTCTACATTTAGCCTTGTGTGCGTACATATAACATAAATATAATCAATACCTTCTTGACAATATTTTCATATAACGAGGTGCGCATTTAGCCGAATTCTAGAATTTTAGAATAGATATATATGAATTGATTTGATATCAGTATAGATGAAATTTTCAGAATTCTAGAATTTTAGAATAAATATGTATGAATTGATTTCATATTACTATAGGGGAAGTTTTAGAATTTTCCTAATTCTAGAATTTTAGAATAAATATATATGAATTGATTTCATATCAGTATAGATGGAATTTTAAGGTAATTGGAATTCTAGAAGATTAGAATAAACAGAATTTTAAAGTAGATGGTGTAAGGCTACATATAAGGGTGTGGGTGTGGGTGGGTGTAGGTGTCGGTTGTAGGTGGATGTGTGTATTGGATGGATAAGGGTGAAGTGCTGCACTAAGTGAACAGCAACATCAATACCGACACGCCACCCCACACCCTACACCCACACCCCACATCCATCCACACCCACACCCACACCCCACACCCACACCCGCATCCCACACCCACACACTCACATCCTGCACCCACACCCCACACCCACACCCTTGATATATATTTATTCTAAAATTCTAGAATTCTAGAATTTTAGAATAGGGCCACTGCTGCAATCAATAGAACTCATAAAACTACACTTTTAAGCAAAATTTGACGTTGCAGCCATATTCTCTTTACACCGAAATAGGGGAAAAGCACATATTTTGGTGAAAAATTATCATTTTCTGCCTCGGAATCGCGGTTTTTTATTTCAAGCTGATCTTTTTTTGCGGTAAAAATTTTAGATTCTTAGAGAGTTGAAAATTCTGAGTGAGAAAAAGTATTTTTTACCTAAGTTTCACGATTAGCTATTTTACTATGGGGTCGTAGAATGACACATGGGGTCTAGATTGTGGTCCAAACTATATGAGGAAGAAAAGATTTTTGAGAGATCTTTTTATGATCTTCGCAGTCATTACACTTGACTACAGAGGCATATTTAGTTTTGATCGACAGAAAACGAAATTTTGTTTTTCGACGGTACCTGGGGGACCCCAGGGACCAAAATCGAGGATATTATTTTTTCCGAAATAAACTTGAAAAAAATGATCACAAGTCATCCCATATTCAAACCTAATAAAAATAAATCGATTCTGAAGAAGATTTAAAAAATCGGCCTTATCCGTTCTTCTCCTTTAAAAAGAGAACTCTAGAAGCAACGAAAATTGCCCATTTTCGATACTTGTCAATTGATGCTATGTTCACTGTAATCAAATTTTCTTTTCAATAAATGAATATAAAGAAATAAGTAAATATACAGAGTGATAGAGAATTTTAAGCTCTATGAGAATATATAATTACTTTTTTTTTCGAAAAGCAATTGTATATTGATGAAAAATTTAACACACTAATTTCGGTGACAGTGAAAAAATTAAGTCTGTGGGAATCTGAACATAAGAGTGCCTTCATTATACTCCATTTTTTGTGGTAATATATATATTCAAACGAAAATGCAAGTATACAAGCTGGTAGAAAACTAGGCGCACTTTCAGAATATATTATTTTTTGAAAAAGCACGTTGCCATGATAACGATATCCTCAAAATACAGACTACAGCTTGTTTTTTCCAGGCGTATATATCATCATTCACTCGTATTTTATATGTATTGTTCTTACCTATTCATTCTTACGCCACTATCTTTACTCTATTGTTCTTCTATATCTGTGCTCTTCTTAGTCTCATCTTTTTTCTCTTGGTCATCTCTTATTTAACTCGTCTATATAAGTGTGTGTTTTATATGTAATCGATACAATTATATAATACGAAGAATAGAATAAAGTGTAGCACCATCAACACTAACATCTCTTCTATGATTTTTCGTTACAGGTACGAGTGAACAATATATCTATTTTCTTGAAAACATCAGGACGTAAAGGGTTTACTTCTTTTAGATGTAGGAAAAAACTTTTGTGCAGTGATTTACTACGTCTGTAAAATGGTGATATCAACAATGGATACCGAAGTGACTGCGCTTATCTTTTTCGTATACATTTTCTCAAAAAAGTCACAGCAATCACTTCATATTTGTCTCAGTAATAGTTTCGATTTTTAGATACTATTAACATCCAATTCTTTCGTCCTCTAGCATAGATTCCACTTTTTGATGGCAAATAAAAGTGTTTCAAAGATTTATAGCGAAGTTTAGCAGTATTGAATAGAATTATTTTCCCATGTCTTGTATACTTTTCTGAAATTTCAGAAGTTAGCTATTCTATTATTAACTAAGTGTAGTGCAAAAAATCAATGAAGTTTGCTGATCGGCACCAACCTGGTACTTTCAGTGCTGAAAATCACTTTTATCCAGAAGCTTTGAACAAATCTCTGTGTTCTGAAGTGAAAGCATTTCTTAAACTTGGAAATGAGCTGATTGCCCAACGATATTGTTATTTACATCCGGCAACGAACTACAATCGTTTATGCACTCTCATGAACACACGCCCATCTCTTTTACAGTTGTCTGGTACTGATTTACTTCATGTAACCGATCAAAATCAGCAAAAGCAAATCATTCTCATAGAAACAAATAGCTGCCCGAGTGGACAAAAGTCAATGCCAATAGATTCATACGTCGATAATGACTCTGGATATCACAAATTCGTACGTTTAACATTTCTGACAGCTGTCAAAAAAGCTCAACAATCAAATAGACTGATTGAAAATGGCCATCTAGCTGTTGTTTACGATAAAAATCCAATAGAAAACTTGGGATATGCGGCTGCTATGGCCGATGTGTTTGGTGAAACCGTCTACTCCGTTGAGTTTCACAGCTGCGATTTCGATCCACCCGTTAAATTTATTGATCAAATTATGTTTGTACGTGATTCAAATTCAAAATGGCTTCCCATCCGAGCGGCTTTTCGATACATAACACAAACTCCTTGGCTCTGCATTCCGGTACAATCAAAGACACTAATTATCAATCCTATTATTGCTTGTTTAGCTGGTGGACGAAATAAGAATATTGCTGACTATGCCTACCAAGTTTTCAACAAGGAATATGAACCATTTGGTTTGAGAATCCGTACCCCTCACACTATTCGAAATGTTCTGAAAAGTGACATTCCACGTCTAATTGAAAGTTTAGGAGGCCATGCCGTAGTAAAAGTGCCTTATTCCAATGCTGGACAAGGAGTATTTACCATAACCAATAAACAAGAATCAGAAAAGTTTATGCAAATGCCAGAATACTATGAGAAATATATCGTTCAATCGCTTGTCGGAAGCAGTAAATGGATTCGTGGAAACAAAGTACTAAATACGAAAGATTACTATCATATTGGAATGCGTCCCATTAATCGAAAAGAAGTATTTGTTGCTGATTTACGCATGCAAGTATGCGGAACTGAAATTGGGTTTCAACCATTGGCAATTTACGGGAGACGAGCTGCAGTTCCACTAAGTGATCAGTTGGGAGAGGACGACGATAGTTGGTTGGTTCTAGGAACGAATTTGTCATGCAAAGATGGCGATGGGAAGTGGAGAACAGAAACGGACAGATTAGTGGTAATGGACTCAAATGGTTGGAATCAACTGGGATTGACCATGGATGATTTAATCGATGGTTATGTACAAGCAGTACTTGCTACCACTGCCATAGATTGCCTTGCACAGCAATTAATAAATCAAAAAGGTAATTTGGATTTAAAGTTGTTCAAAATGCTGAATGATGACCAACCACTGTTGAATCAAATCCTGATGCATCCTTGCGAGTGAAGTTTTCTACGATAACTTTCTGTTCACGAAAGATGATACTTGCGAAAAAAATCCGTTCAAACTGATTCTTTTTTTAATTGTTTTATCGCTAGACTTAAAACCCATGTTTCTTCAATAAAAATAGAAATAACTAATTTCAGAGAGTATGATTTTACGATGCATTCTCTAAGAAATATATTTAATGGATTTCTCGCTACAAAACGATAAAGGACTCTTCCTATAAAAACTCTTGAAATCCCTTGTTAGATTACTAAACTGCTCTTAGAGTTCTCAATGGGGAACAAACTGATTTCATGATTTTGAGTGATTTAAGATGATTTTATGAGATTTCCTGTGATTTTAGATGATTCCAAACAGTAGTCAGAACATTTATGTTTCTTTATATTATTCAAAATAGCTTCGTTTATATATTGATGTTAGTGTAATTAGACAAGTAACATAAGAAAACATGAACTTCGCTGAGGAAAGTAATAATAAATTAAAGTGAAAGTACTATGTGAGCTACATTTGTTCTTTATTATTTTAAACGAAGCAATTTGACAAAAAAAGACTTAATAAACTTTGAGCTCGTGATAACCGATTGACAGATAAAGAGGATTTGTCTTTTTCCAAAACCTAACACACAGCTGGTTTATGAAGAAACTTCTTTTTCGTGGTTAATATTAACTTTGAAAAAAGTATGAGCGAGTTCTCTTTTTACATTGTCAAATAATCGTATTCTACCATTAGTCGAAATATTTGCATTATTTAACGCGTCGAAATTATCATTAAATTCGAATTCTTCATCATTATCATAATTATTTGTAAAATTTTCATGTTTTATCAAAATATGTATCATTGTCTGATTCAACAATTGAACTATCACTCCGGCTGCTCATAGTAATACTTTCTGTCGAGCAAAGTTCTTCTAATTTTCGTGAAATAAGAAGTCTCATTGCTTCGACTGATATTATTTGTTCATTTTGTAAGATTTCTTTCATTTTCAATTAGTTAAAAAGTTTGGTTACATGCTTATATGACGTCAGAATACTATTTGCAATAGCTGTGTTAAAAGAACCCATTCTACTTAATGGATTTAAAGTCTTCGGTAATATTCTAGATAACTAATGATGCTGAAGAAAACGAAGATTATTATACTTTGTATTATTTTTGATCTTTCGCAGTACTGATAATTTATTTACTTGATTAAGAAATTGTGAAACTGTGAAATTTACTCCAGCTTAAAAAGGTACTTGATATTGCTCTTGCTGATCTGAATGCACCTTCACATGTTTGCGAATTTTCTAATCAAATATCAAGAACATCAACTGAAAATTGTCCTTCAGATAACAGTATAGCAAGATAAGCCAGAAAGTGTGCGTTCGGTGGGATTGTGGCTGTGCGGTCTGAGGGCGGGTGTGGGTGGATGTCGGTGTGGATGAAAGTGAGTTTTCATTTACAGTACATCCATACCGACCCACACCCACACCCTCATCATATTTTTTCACTTTTTATCAAAATCGCTTGTTGTTCCAATAAAAGTTTGATATAAAATAGGAAAATTCGACAAAAAATGAACACGATTTCCTATTATTTCGGTATGGAGATGGACAAGTTCACTAGCTCAACATTAGACAATGAGATGTTAATCATTCGCATTATATCTCCAACTATAGAGCTGAAGTTCTTCTATCTAATTTTTATGTCAGAATGGTAATTTCATTGAAACTACATTATCTTATTAAACATTTTTCGGAACAATTCTCAAAAATGATTGATTAGGCAATGATTTCAAGCTACACACTATTTTATCAACACATGTCCTAACTCAGCGTCTTTCAGTTGGTGAATACCGCAGACCGCTACCTATTGTCGTTCTCGAGATATTTGTTTTACGCTAACCCACACTTAATTCTGTCGCCGACAATAGTCACAGTTGCTGCTTCTTTCATCTAACACAAACAATTTACAGACGTGTACAAAATCTTGGCTTAACTACAGTTTATATTGGTGATGTTGATATTGGTACTTGTGTTCGAAAATTAACGGCTTTAGCTTTATTACCAGTGTACAAAGTTCAAGTAACATTTAATGAATTACGTACAAATTCATCAGATAATGTGAAAGAAATGTTGCATCAATTATTTTTGTATTTCAATAATCAATGGATGAAAGAAATTCTTTTATGACTTTGAAATGTTCATGGTCTTCAGCATCGTACTAACAACATATGCGAAGATAACTGTCCTTTTTAATATTCTATATATAATCAGGTTCCTTTATTGGTTTTCATAATCAATTATATCATCGCATTGAAAGATCTCATCCCATTATCTGGCCATTTATTAAATATCTTCAAGAGGAGTAGTATCGATTTAGACACATGCTGATACAAATGAATGCTGTGCTCAAGGTCGCCCAAAAATAGTAGCAACTACTGCAATACAACAAAGCATCGATACATTGAATAAACGTTACTCAAATAATGAAATTGATCTTCAAACACTATTAGATGGTTTCTCAAAAATTGTAGCAAAATAACACAAATAATCTCGAACAATTAATTAACATGTACTGCCCATGTAAATACTTTTCCCTTGAAAACATGTCTGAAACGCGTCTCATTTGCGTGCGGAACGCTAAGAGTGAACGCGTTTGAACGCGTCCCCAGTGAAACAAACGAAGAGTTTAGACGGGATTTATATTTTAGAAACGCGTCTGAATGCGTTTGTAGTTTGACTTACGTTCCAACGCGTTTTTTAACGAAAACTCGTCCCCAGTGAAACAATCGAAGTGTCTGAACGAGTTTCATATAAAATATAAAGATTTTGAAAAATATATCAGAATCCATCTCAGATTCTCAGATTCGAACTGAGTCCGCATTGTTAACATTTATTGACGATTTTAGCCTAATCTGAAAACTGGATTGAATTTTACCTTAAGCGATGATGATTAGATTTGAACAGATGAACCAGTAATCAGAAGTCGTTCACATACACCACTGTGCTATATAGCTCAAAATCTTTTCTTGTTCAAAATAAAATATATTTGAATGTTAATTTTATCGCTTAAATACTTTATTTCAATACCATGTACTTCTTGTAAAGTAAGATATTTAACACATAACGTGATTTTTCACTTATTTTTAAATAATTTTAGTATTTTTTTTTTTATTAAAATGAAATTTCTTTTATCGTCTACTAAATATGATTTATTTTATGAAAGGCCTCTAATTGCGCTGGCAGCATGATAAATAATTTTATCGAAGAATTTAATGAATAAATAATTATTCATACAATTTATTTAGTAGAAGTATGATAAAAGTTACTAATCATATAATTTAAACAGTAGTATTTATCAGTTTCCTAAAAGGACATCGAATAGTTGAAAACTATTGTGATATTGTCTCATTATTATTAATACAAACTTTAGAGAAACATGGATTATATGCCTAATGTTTAATTAAATTTTTGTCTATTTTAATGTCATGTGAAATTCGTTATTAAAAAGTCGAACGAAGTTTAGGTAAATCAAATATATGTAAGCCGACGACTTCGATCACGTAATTAACCCTTCTAGAGCAATAGTTTTTGGAGTAAAATCGTATCTGAAACGCGAGAAATGAACGCGTGCAAACCTGTTGAGAAATATGATACCTACCCAACGCGACTGAAAGAATATCTGAGACGCATTTGAACGCAGTTAGTAGATAAAATGCATTCAAACGCGTTAAATGCTTTTCGGACACGCGTTGAGACGCAGTTCATTTTTTTTCTAATAGAGTTTAAACGCGTTGTATAGAAAAACTGCGTACAAACGGGTTTCAAAATATTTTTAACCGCGTGTCAATGCATTTCATATCAAATCGCGTTAGTATACGTCGTGAAAACATTGTGAACTGCGTCTCAACGCATTAATTTAGCGTTTCGTGTTTACATGGGTGTGGCTATCACTTTTTTTCTCTTCTATTTGTCTGCATTACTAGTTATTTATGATTCCTCTCATAAATTAATAAAATTATTTGCATTTCAGCTTTCTGAATTTAGTAAGCAAACATTTTCAACATTTTTTTTCGACGTAACTATCAGTCGATATTCTCATAGTTCGATATTCTTTTCGACCATTTTAGTGTTCAACATTTTTTTCGGCATTTTTTACGTTCGATATATTTGTTTTCGACGTTTTTAGTTTCGACATCTTTTCTTTCAGTCTTTTCTATGCATACCGCAGCAGTTGCAGAATACCTACCAAGCAGAATTCAAAATTCTGTGAACTTATGTATTTTTTTGAAAAGAGTTGGTTATCACGCACTAGAATTCTGTTTGTATTCTGCTTAGAATTCTGTAGAATTCTTTATGATCACAGAATGTATAGCAGCGTTCGTCTCTTCATATTCTGCTTAAAATTTTGTAGAATTCTGTAGAATAATATGTTACCACAGACAATGTATATCTGTGGTCGTCGGATTCCATACTGCTCATAATCCTCTAGAATTCTATAAAATTCTCTTCAACAAAATATTCTGTTCCAGTTTTCGCGGGTGCTGGTCGTCACTGGATATTAAAATTCTGTTCTGGCTTTTTACATTCTGCTTAGACTTCTGTAAGCTTCTGTGCTATCAGAGACAACGTCTTCCATTTTGGTATGTTTAAATTCTGCCTCGAGTTCTGTAGAATTCTGTATTATCAGAGACAATATAATATTTTCAATGCCTTTTCGGTCCACGATGGGCATGCATAGTACACATGTTCGAACTTTTATTCCGTAACTGGAACAGAATAACACAGACAATGTATATCCCTGTTCATCTGTTTATATTCTGCTTAGAATTATGTAGAATTTTTTATGATCACAGAGAATGTATATCCGTGCTCGTCTCTTTATATTCTACTTAGAATTTTGTAGAATTCTGTAGAATTCTATGTTATCACAAGGCATGCACAGTACATATATTCGTACTTGTATTTTGTAAATGGAAAATTTAAATTCTGCTGGTACTTTTAAATTCTTCACTAGAATTTTGTTTCCTTTCTCTAGAATGCTAATTCAAAGTTTGAATTCTGCTACTCGTCTATTTAATATTCTGCTTGTTTTTAAAAAATTTGTCGTTACAATTTTGTTTCCCGTATGAGACAGACATGCATATTATATGTATTCGAACTTTGCATCCTGTTACTAAAACTGAATTCTGTTTAATATTCTGCTTGTTTTTTTAAAATTCTTCATAAGAATTTGTTTCTTCTCCCAGATCGATATACATAGTAAACGTATTCGAACTTGTATTCTGTTACTGGAAAAGAATTCTGGTTAATATTCTACTTGTATTTTGAAATAGCTAATCCATTGTTTACATATTGGATTTTTTAAATTCTGAATTCTGCTTGGTAGGCATTCTGCAGCCCCTCATCCTTACTAAGAGTTTTTCATCACCTATTGAGGTCTGTCTAATAAAAATATTACGGCCTTCAAAGCGGTGTATTATTTGTAAAATTCGATCGTAAGAATTTATTTCAAAAGAATAGTTATATGAAGAGAAATTTGCACTAAGAAAAGACGTAAGTCATTTTTGCTTTTAATACTGCCGAATAATGCTAACAATCACTTGCAATCAGTGACAGCTAGATTTGTACTTCTTCAGAATACTGTGAAAAAAGATAATAATATGCTCCAAATTTTTGAATCAATTCTGTATGAGTACCACTATCAACAATCCGTCCTCTATCGAATAAACAAATTAGATCACATGAGCGAATGGTATTCAAACGATGGGCAATGATGATTGACGTTCGAGTAGGATCATTAATTTGAGCTTGCTCAAGCGTCTGTTGTACAATCTAAAAAATGAAAATGAGTAAGTATGAACAGACAACAAAATCTTATACTCGTTCATTGTAGGAGTCCATCGCACTTGTAACTTCATCAAGTAGTAGAACTTTAGGTCGGCGCACAAAAACTCGTGCAATAGCTATTCGCTGCTTTTCACCACCGGACAATCTATTACCTGTCAGTCCTACTTTAGTCTCGTAGCCCTATATCAAAATATTATATAGAAAAATTATTATAACAAACAGTCTTACTTGCGGTAATTTCAGAATGAAGTCATGAATGTTAGCTTTCTTAGCAGCATCTATAACATCTTCAAATGGCACATTTTCCAAGCCGTATGTTATATTTTCGGCAATTGTTAAATCAAACAAAACAGGTTCTTGACTGACAAGACCGAGACGTGAACGAATCCATTGAATATTTAGTAGTCGAACATCAACGCCATCGAAAAGCTAACACAAATAAAGATAATTCTTCTATATTCAAAATAAGAATAACTGAAACAGATTTACTAGTCGCCCCTGAGTGACATCATAGAATCGTTCCAAAAGTTGAATTACTGTGGATTTACCACAACCAGAGAGTCCTTAATTGTGTAGAACTATGTTGATTCGACGAATTATAATTAGAAAAAAAAAATAATACTAACCGACAAGAGCAATACGCTGGCCTATTAGAGCAAATAATATAAACAATGCAAGTTAGCCTTATGTTTCTCACCAGGTTTTACGGACAACCGAAAGTTTTTGAGAATGACTGATTTTGCTCTAGTAGGATAGACAAAGTCAACTTGATCGAATTCGATTTCACCACGAAAATTAAGCTAATTAGTAATGAAATATTAATATTCAGTAGACTATTTTCAGAACAAGTTCTATTATATGATTACTAACTAATTCTTGTCCATTCGTTGATCCGTTGTCGATAGTTGGTATTCGATCGAATAAAGCGAAAAACCTTTTTGCCGCCGATATGGAAGATCCCAAGTTTTTCGCTCTAATCAAAACAAAAAGAAACATGTTGTTCTTGTTAAGTTTTAGACTTACAGGTTTGCAACAATTACTAAAGAGTCCATGCTGAAAACAACGAAGCCAAATAGCCTAAAACAAATTCAATTGATTAGCATATTTTTGTCAATTATCTTTCATTCTGATTACATGTTTATTTTTTGTCTTTCCATTTTCTTATGTTCGATTAGCACGAGGACAACCGAGTACATAGTTGCTATAGTAAAACACTTGATAGCCCACTTACAAGAAAATAATAATCCAGCTAATAGAACAAATTTTTGTTGAATACTATAATGAGAAAAAGAACAGCAGGTTATTTTCTGTTGATAATGTCTTACAAGTACTTACTCAAAACGCTGTCGAATCAGTTTCGCTTGTTGTTGAAAGAGTTCTTTTTCGATCGTCAATTGCTTCACTGTGCGAATGTTGTGTATGGCTTCCATAATGATCTATAATACAACTAGTAATCAGTAGGTTTTTAAATTTTCTCAAGACCAAAAAAGAAAATTTTATAAAAGTGATCAAGTAACGTTTGTTCCTTGGATTTCTATGACTCTCTACTGATTCCTATCCAACGATAATCTATTATTATTTGCTGCATTCTATTATGGGAAATATGGCTTAACAAAGTATACAAAAATCTGTCTATAATTATTCGTAGTAACTATCGTTTTGTAAAAACATTAAACAGCTCTATTTTCTTTCGACGTTTTCGAAAATAAGCTGTAGTACACAGTTCTAGTCGGTCATTACCATTGAATTAAGCCTGCTGTTGATTCTTCTTACTACTTTTTCCCGATCATTCTTATTTTTTCGACCTCTTCGTATTTCTCGAGATATATCTCTGTACAGATTATAATTCAAACGCCAGTACGACATCGTCTTTGACAGCAAAAAGCTTGAATTGGCTTTGCGGAAAATCTATATTCTGCTGAAACTTCTCAACTGAAACGTTGCAATGAGTTACAAAACAATCTCGCATTTCTTACTGTAGCGTTGTCGAAAAATTTTGTTGCTCAGAGGTCTAGCTTCAAAGATAGATGATATGAACATTGCATTTTTTCACTAAATGAAAGCTTGTCGAAATCAGAAATTATATGTACCAATTGACATTTCATGGATAATGAACAGTTATAGAATTACGAAATTTTCTAACCTTTCAGAGATCGAGCTTTTCAAGACTTTATCTGTAAATCATTTTGGTAAAAATACACTTTTAAATATGAATACCTGTATCAAAAATCTAGAAAACTTTGAAAATGGTGACTGGTGACTATGTGATGTTATCGTTAGCGAGGAGATGTGGGTTTACCATTGACAGATTGGATCAAAACAGCAATTAAAAGCGTAGGTAGCAGAAGGAGAAAGATCTTCAAATATCGTCAAAAGGCAACTTTATGGGTCGAAAACAATGCTTATCATTTTCTTCATGACTACTGAACCATTACTTAGTCACCAGGTGCTTCAAAGGGTATGTATTAATGATATCTATTATCGCGATGAATGTTTAAAATCATCGATCAAAAACTTATCGATAAAAAGACCATCATTAGTTACAAGCGGTATGCAGCTTCATCATGCCGATTCAAGACTCTCTGTGAAAGATGTTGCAATCAACTATCTTCAATGTGAAAAAATTGAAGCTATGGCTCATCTACCATTCTCGCCTGCTTTTCTCGCTTCAGGCTTTTGACTATCCAACTATCTGAAAGATAAATTTGGTTCATATCCAAATGCAACATGTTTACGGTAAGCAATAACCGAAGAGTTCAATTGGATTTCATTTGAAGAATAGAGAAAGACGTTTCAAAAGTGGATTGAAAGAATGAAATTCTGTATTAAACATCACGGTAATTACTTCGAACATTTGCTATATAAAGATCCTCTGGATGTCTTTTCATATCAATACATTTTTTCAGTTCTCAGAACTTTTTGACTATCCGTAGTAATTCTGATTAAAGATTTCCACTGAATAAATAAAAATTCAAGTTCGATTTTTCCTTCTTACTGAACTGGACAATTGATTAAAACCTTGAATGTGTTTATTGACTTTTATCTGTATGCAAACTTCACCGGATGCACTACTGCCAATAATAAATACGAAAGCCAGCATAGTAAGTGCTATTTGCCAACCGAACATAAAACTGAAGCCAAGACCAAAACCAAGAACAGCTGCAGTTTCAATAATTAAACACAATCTATTGCTAGCCATTTCTTGAACATCTAATGCATCTGACGCTAATCGGTGACAGATAGCAGCTGAGCTATTTTGAGCTTGATCAAAAAAGGCCACTTCTTGACGAAGAAAACATGCAAAAGCCTTGGAACGAAGACGTCGAATAAATGCTGCCCCGGCTATAGCAAACGCGGTGAACTGGAAAACAGAACAACGAATAATAAAAAAGAAATATTGCTCTATTATGATATCGTACTTGACAAAAATGAACTATGATTGCTACGACACCCAATATTATTAATAAAGAACAATACTTGACCACTTGATGTTGTCGTTCTTCAAAGTTGCATTCTCCGAACACCTAAATAGACAAAATGATCAGGCACAATATTAAGATGAGATCTAGAGAAATCGCTATTGTCACTTTCATTAATAAGCATACTGAGAACAATTGCAAATATAGGCTCCATAGCTCCTGTACATACACACGCCAAGCAACCGATTACAATAGGGATCCAGTGGAATTTATTCATGGCTATTATTTGCGAAACGATCGATTGCTGACTTGGCACAGAAGATTTCACAGATGTAGATCTTTCCTAAAATGTGTACATGATTATCTAAACTCCAAAAAATATTTCGAATTATACTCTTACTAGTTTCGCATTAGTAGATATTGTCTCGTGGGATTGTTTCATAGTTTTAGCTGCACACAAACATTACGTTATCTTTCTATTCAAAATTATACTGACAAATAATTAACATACTTGATAATTGTTCTTCTGATTTATCATTGATCATTTCATCATTATTGTCATTAATTGTTCCTTCAATTTGTTGAGCTCTAAATATTCTCTGATACTTTCCTCCATTTATTCTCATCAGTGATTCATGTGTTCCTTGTTCAATCACTGTACCATTGTCCAAAACATAGATTCGTTTTGCATTTTGAATTGTTCTCAAGCGATGAGCTATGATAATCGTTGTTCGACCTAGGAACAATGATAAACTTTCGATAGAAAAAAATTGAACGAAGGCTATTTACCGTTACAAGCTTTATCAAGTGCCTCTTGAACAATCTTCTCATTTGTATGATCCAGTGCGCTTGTGACCTCATCGAATAGTAACAATTGAGGTTGTTTGATAAGAGCACGAGCAATTGCTACACGTTGTTTCTCACCACCACTTAATTGGACACCACGTTCTCCTACGACTGTGTCATATTTCTACATAAGCACAAAGAGGATGTATATGATAAAGATGACAGGCTTTCTGTTCAAACTTCAGATAGTTGCATTATAAAATCATGTGCATTGGCTAATTGAGCTGCCTGTTCGATTTCTACTTTGGATGCATCTTTCTTCCCATATCGAATATTTTCGTAAATAGTTGTATCAAAAAGTATCTATTCTAGTGTAGATATCATCAAAACAAGAAACAAAATTTTGATACTCACTGGTTCTTGACTAACAACTCCGATGTTTTGCCGAAGCTCTGTAATATTGAAACTAGAAAGTGGCTGACCGTTGATCATAATTTGACCTGATGAAGGTTCGTAGAACCGAAGCAGAAGTGATGTGCAGGTACTTTTGCCTATCCATTCAAGAAAAGATTTTGAGTATGTAATTTATCTACTGAACATACCGCTGCCATTCGCACCCACAATGGCAGTTGTTTCACCCGCTGGAATCAGTAGCGACAGATTTTGAAGAACGCACACATTTGTTCGAGATGGATAGGTAAAAGTAACATTGCTGAATTGAATATCAGCATTAATCGATGGGTTGTTTTCATTAGTATTATCCATCAATGTATCTGTTTCGATTGATTCGCCAGCTTGAACCTTATATTCACCAAAAAATAAGTTAATCGAATTCGATGTATTGATTTGAAAAAAGATATATCAAACCTCATCGAAGAAGTGCCAGATAGGCGTAACTGCTCCACGTGCTTCTGCATTTGACTGAATGAATATGCCAATTAGACGTAATGAAGCAATTCCACGAGCAAAAGCAAACACGGCCTACATTGAAGACCAATTATGATATTCGCAAAATTTCTACATAGATAGTATCAGAGACACTTACGACGAGAAGGTCACTCAGACACATAGGACTTTGTTCAAAATGCATGAATAATAAACCGAAGATAAAACCAAGTGCATAGGTTAAATAAAGATTAAAATAAATCCAACCACGAAATAGACCCAGTATAGTTCCCTTCCGTACACTACTCCACTTGGATGCTTCCAGTTTTTCTGTATATCTAGATGTCAAATTTGAAATATGAATTCTAAACATGTTTACACTTACTGTTGCTGTACAAATTTCCCTCCATTGAATGCGAGTACCGTTCTGATAGAGCTGAAAACTTCTTGGGCAATGTGACCTGCTTTGGAATAAGTATTAAATTCATTTAATGTTTCTTTCGTCATTGTCTAAAATAGTAATGAAT